CTGGACTCGTGACACGGTGGACGTGAAGGTGAGCAAAGACTCCTAGCGGAGGGTCATTACTGTAATGTCTACCCAGAGGGAACTACCTGGCCAAAGCTGAGAGGTGAACAGACAGGTGGGGGTGGGGGTGGCTGCAATGGGTCTGGAGGAATGGTAAGACGGCCCAAGGCACTCGTCCTGGGAAAAGCTGTCTCAGTTCTGCAACCTGACCCTGCAAGTCACCAGCTCTGTGCCTCAAGCTAGTCACGTCTCCTCCCTAGGCCTCAGTTTTTTCACCTGTACAATAGGTATTTGCCTCAAAGGCTCCAAGACAAGTGAGATAATGCATTCAATGTGGCATTTAGCACACAGTGAGCTCTCAAAATGCAAGTTAAAAAAGAAGTCTAAGGGTTGCATACCCACAAGGACACAGACCTACTTTGTGACATCTGGGGGCCCTAGGCCCTGCAGGAATGAGTTACTCCAAACCTACACAAGAGAACATCCTTAAAAACCAGCCTCACTCTTGTCAGCTACAACATTACCCAGAAGGGGATAAACTGCAGCCAGGGATGCTATGAAAAGGGTTCCTGAAGCAGAGAGCAGACAGTGCCCATGATTAAACTCTCTGAGACTCAGGGAGTGCACATGCTCAAATCTATGCCTTTTCTGTTTCCTTCCTAAGGAGCAGCTGCAATGCTGGAGTCAAAATGTCTGGGCTCTGGTCTGACCACCAGCAGCCTCAGCCAGGTATCAATCTCCTCAGCGATACGGTGGGGCTATGGGGAGGCAGAGATGACAGAAGGGGTAAGGCAAAATACAGGAATGCGCTAGAGCACTACTCGCGATGTAAAAGCAACAGTATTAGGGATGGGGAAAGGAAAAGGGAGGGGGAAAGGAAGGAAGGAAAAAGAAAGAAAAATGGTAAGAAGGAAAAAATGGAAACAAAGATTTTGTAAACAAGGAGAAGAGGGGTTGAAGGGAGGGTAGGGGAATGGGGAAAAAAGAATCAAGTTATACCACCTACTGGTCAAATTCCCTATAATGAATGTGATCATTATGTCTACCTCAAACGTACAGATAAACTTAATTAAAAAACAGTATCATCAAATGTGCTGCCCAGTACTTCAAGAGTGTGTAGCCCACTGTTACCAAATTACCATGTAGTTACAATTCAGGAAGAGGAGACAGGGGAGAAATGATTGAGAGGGAGAATGAATGAATATGAACGGGAATGAAGAGAAAGAGGAAGACCAAGGGAAAGAATGTGGGGGACCGAAGGCACAGGGTGGCCCTAATGTGTGGGGGTAAATCATCATCAAAATTAAAGTTAACCCTGGCAAGCCCCTATCAGGACAATAGCGTGTGATCTCGCCCGTGTGGCTGGGGCACACCCCTGCTTCCTTGGGTGAGCACATCTGTAGCAGCTGTCTCGAAGTAAGGCCCACGCTGCACAAAAGGCACTTAACTACAATCCACAGGACTGTAGAGAGAGACGCGGGGACGGACACTAACAGGGTTCTGGTCTCCCATCCTCAGCGTTCCTGGAAATATCCCAAAACGGAGAGGAAGACTATTTAATCTTACTGCCTATGTGATTAAATTGTCCTCGGGACAGTCCGCCCTGCTTCCTCCAGACTGTTCTTTTACCTGGCCTTTTCCTCTTTTACTTGGCCCAATCTCACTCTGCTGAGCTAGTTTCTCCCTCACTCTTCACTTTTTCAAATGAAGTTGGCCACTACTTTTTGCTCGTTTCATTCAGTTCTTTGTTCAAGATGAGAATAAAATAAAAAAATAAATTTTCACAAACTGGTATGTGTATCAGGTCACTCCTATGTATGCAAACTTACAACCTGTGGCACCCAGTTTCTGATTAGCTGGCAGGGAAGCCTGTGGGCTGCTGGCTGAGAGGAAGGGCTTGGCAGCCAAGGGCCCAGTCAATCCTGCAGTCCTGGACCGGACAGGAAGGAGACATAGAACAGCCGTCCTAAGGGACCGTGCTGGGCTTTTCACAGTGCCACTCTCTAGAATCTGCAGAATCTTACCTAGCAGAACCAAGGGAAATGGGAAGGGGTCGCAGTCAAGCGCTGACAGCAGCAACCATAAAAAACCAAGCTCAGCCCTTCCAGGAACTCAAAGGACTCGCGACTGTGTCCCAGCAACCAGGGCACACATTACTCAAAAAGCACACACTGAGTACCCGCACACAAACACAGCTCAGCACCTTCTCAGGGTTAGGGAGCAGAGAGGCCTGCACACCTGGTTTAGCTTAAACCAATTAAGTCTTTTTGTTCCTCTAGTAATAGTCAGCACTGCTTCCACTGCCTGGGGGCATAGGACAGATCCAGTCATTCCTCTTTTTAAGGCATTCATTCATTCATTCGTTGGACAAGTATTTACTGCATGCCTACTTCGTATCAGACGCTTGGTCAATGGCTTCCCCTTGCACTGGCTAAAATCCCAAACTACATCTCTCCAACTCATCTGAACAAGTCTCCCTTAAGCACTAAGGACTTTTTATTCTCTTTCAACAGGACCAGCTCAGCTGCACCAGAGGCCCTCTGCACTGACAACCCTCTCCACTCTGGGCCCGTGACACATGCTGCAGGGTGGCTCCTGCCATCATTTGTCTCAATTCAAATGCCACCTTCTCAGAAAAGCCTTCCCTGACTGTCTCTCCAGACACTCCGGCACATCAATTTCCTCACAGCTCACTGCTGTCTGAGATCATCGTCCTTATTTACTCCCTTAATGGCCTTTTCCCTGATTTGAATGCAAACTCTTCAAGGACAGAGGCGATGCCATCTTGTAAGCTACTTACAACAGACCTTCAGGAGGTATCTGTTGAATAAACAGACAAATGTTTGGGAAGCCCATTCTGAGGCATCTCAAAGTTGGTCCTGTGTTATCTAAACCATGCCAAGTGCTCTTATATGCCACTAGGTAGCAGCTGCTAACGCTTTATCTGACTGCCACAGCATTTATGAAGCACTCTTCAACTGGCAGGGCCTCAGAAGTCACAATGAAGTGGCTGTCAAACCGGATTGTAGGTAGCCAATCTCAAGGGGCCCGCAAACAGGGCTGAGCTGCTTCACCACTGCAATCCTGGCTGCCACCGGTGCCATGTACTCCCCAGTTTACAGCGACCTGGCAGGGATATTATTCTGGTGAGAGGATCCCCCAGCAGTCTGACCTGACTCAGCCCGTCCTCTGGGAGTGCCTGTGGCAGTATCTTGGTAAAGGAACTGACTCAGCACTCCACTAGCCGAAACCAAAACCTAGTTAAAGGGTGCAAGGGCTTCTGGATGCTCCGGAGAGACCCTACCGCTTTAAATATAAAAGACAGTTTGTGGTGGGCTACCTCAGTCAGACACCCTGCATCCAACTCCTTTTATCTCCACCCTCTCAGACAAGTATGGTTCCTTGGGTACCAGAACAGAAACATCCCGGAAAGGGGGATTCCCCTAACAGTGTCCCCTTAGGTTACCAATCCTCCCCTAGCAGTGCTGCTGTAGCCTAAATTACCCAGGGACTTCGGTACTCAGGCCGGTGTTCCTGCGAGCCTACAGTGGGGAAACACTGTGGCCTTGTCTGCTAACCCACCCTCACCCCACTGGGGAGAACTGCCTTGGCCAACTTCACTGCCAGGGACCTGCGGGGACAGCCTCATCAAAATGGGGACATTTACTCTTTCCCCAACCCTGCACTTCCAGAGTCCGACTCTTGCCTGATCAGACCCTCTGAGGGACCTGCCCCACCAATGCCCGCCACGCTCAAGATCACCCCTGGTACCCTGTAGGAACGCTAACCCTGAAACACACCTTCAGGTTTCACCCTTCACCCACTGGCTTCCTTTGACCCACCAGGGACTGGAAGGCGCCCTAGCCCAGAAGAACCCTTCATCTCCGCTTTGCCTGTCCTTCCCCAGTCACCCGAGAGTTCTCATTTCATCTGTTCCTCTCCCCACTCCCACCCAGCCAACGGGGAAAGTCTGAGTTGAGCCCACATATTTGCCTCAGGTCTCCATAGGGGGTGGAGGGGAGGATGACCTCACCAGACAGACACTTCTGGGGTCTACTTCCCTGGCCAACACAGGAAGAAGAGGTTTCTCTCTCTTCAAGAAAAAAAAAAAAAAGCAAAACCAAGCTGTCTACAACTGGATCCTCTCGTGCTCTCCCCCATCGCTGGGGCCCTTCTCTCAGCTGGCACCCCCCAACACCCCCCAGGTCTCTCAATTCACCTTTCTCCCCTGTCCAATATTCTGCTCCACTCCCAGCTTGTCTCCTGAAACCTAGTTTTGAGGAATCCACCTGTCTGCTCCAACAGGGTAATGGGGTTGTTTCACCGCGGGTCGCCCCACCATAGAACCCTCTGGAATCCGACCCCGTTGCCCCCTGTCGCTCATCCTGTGCAGATGCCCTTAGCTCCCCGGGAAGCAGTCATCCTGCGACTTTCCCCGTAACCAACACACAGACTTGCTGGCTAACCACCCCCAGAACCAAGGCTAGCCCCGGTCCCGCAGCCCAGGGGGATCCGTGCCGCCACTCCTCGGGACCTTGCCTCCTCCTCCCATCCGGCCGGAGGGCTTCCCCGAGGCCCCCTCCCACGGACACCTAAGGCTCCCCCCTCACCCGGCAAGGGACTTCCGCCCGCTCTAGGGCACCTGGACCTCGGGGACCCCGCGATCCCTCCACGCCTCCCCGGAACCCCAGGCTCACTCCTCGCCCTCTCCGGCCCCCAGCAGCGCCGTGGGCTGGGCCCTTCCTCTTCCCGGGGCCTCACGCCGCCCGGGGAGCCTCTGGGCCTGGCCGCGCCGCCCACAGTCCCCCAGGCCCCCGCCCGTGCTTCCGGCCGCCGCCTGCTCCTCCTCCCCCGTCGGGCCGCGCGGGTCGCCGCCGCGGAGCCCCGCAGACAGGGAAGCCGCAGAGACGCGCGCCCCACTGCAAAGGCCTTCGCGGGTCCTCACGTCCCAGCCCAAACCCGCGCCCCCTCGGCCGGCCGGGCGCGGCGCCCCCGCTCACCCGAGCCCGTGGTGGCTGCCATCTTGCGTCGCG